TGATTCATACTCCCACAGTTAAAACATGTTCTTCCATACGCGGGACAATGACGTCCATGCACCATTCCGCAATTTCCACATTCTTTAGACGGTCTTCTAAATGCTTGTGACTTAAGTTGTCGTTCTTCTTCAGGTTTTTCTGCCGATCCCGCCTTTCGTAACGCATGAACTGCAGTGTCTCCTCCAGCCATTAGCTTTACTTGCTGTTGGGTCTGTTCTGACGACTTAATAATGTCAACTGCTTGTAGGAGAGATAAATCATTCAAACGGAGAAGTCTCTCGCGGACGCGATCATCCCGTATGCCTAGCACGAGGCGGTCACGCAAAATTTCATCTGGTGTGATTGTATCGTGTGCACAGTTTTTTGCGATCGTTCGAAGCTCCGTAAGATACGTCGAGATGTTTTCGCCTGGTTCCTGGTTTCGGTTGTTGAACCTATAGCGTTCATATATGACCTGTGTCCTAGGAATGCAGAATTCGTCGAACTTCTTCAGGACTTGTGAAATGTCGTCTGCGTTTTCGTCTTCGTTCCAAATAAAGGTATCGTGGGCTCTGACGCCATCCTCGCCTATAATGCTTAGTAATGTCGACACACGAACTATGCCCTCTTGTTTATATACACCAGTAGCGATTTCGTAGCGCTGCCATGCTGCTTTCCACGATTTCCATGCGGTGGCTAAATTGTCGTCAAAATTAAGCGCTTTCGGCGGGGGCAAATTTGAAGGGGGAATAAAAACTTGAGTCGGCGCTGGTGGCACAACTATGGATGCTTCAGCTGCTTCTGTCATCTTTAGGGGTGAACAGATCCCACTCCTGACACCATGTCACGATTCTGTGAACTCAAAAGGGTTGTTTATTGTGCGAACTCGACTGCCGCCACGTGTGTGTTCGTTGTCTGCAAGTCTTCTAAATATATATATGTTTATCGGCCCAGTGGCGTGACCGTGTAACGCAATATCACGACAGTTTCTGAGCCAGGGGGTAGGAGAAGGACACTCTGATGTGAAACCTAGAGCCCTGGGGTCCCCACCATCTCAGCCCGCTGAGCCACTGTAGAATGTGTCCCTGAGGCTAAAGTGGGAGGTCAGTCTGCACATCCTAACCTCCATGTTCCTCCCCATCGTCCAGCAACTCCACGAAGGGCAGCAGGGTCAAATCAAACATAGCGGCGAGCTTTCAGACCCCTTCTCCATTTGAAACGGCATGAAACAAGGCTGCGAACTGGCCCCTACACTCTGCCATCTTCTTAGCCAGGGCGTTGAGAGAGAGTAAGGAAGAACTGACCAAAGGCGTCTACATCAGGTTCGGAACCAACAGAAATGTCTTCATCAAGAAGTTGATCCTTGAGCTACTCTTCGGTGATGACTGTGCACTTTTGGCACACACAGAGGATGCTCTCCAAACAGTAGTTAACCACTTCGGAAAGGCTGCTCTGTCATTTGGTCAGTTCATCAGCCTGAAGAGGATAGAGGTCCCTCACCAAAGTTCTCCACTCACAGTGTACTACCCACCCTGGATCACCATCAGTGCCCACCCACTCAACTCAGTGGAGTATCACTTCCAATGACGCTATGATCACCAAAGACCTGGACCACAGTATCGCCAAAGCCAGCAGCTCCTTTGGTCGCCTCCAGCACCAAGTGTGGCAGAACCTCTCCCTTTGCCTGACAAAAATTAGAGTTTACGTGGCAGTTATATTCAGCACTCTTCTGTATTCTACAGACACCAGAGGTGCTTGTGCTCCATTATGGGAATACACTGGCAAGACTACGTCACCAACGTTGAGCTTGAGGATCTAGAGAAGACCGGATTGCCAAGAATCGAGGCTATGCTGATACATTGGGATTTCCAGGATGTCCAAAGCCATGTTCTTTGGTGAACTCAGCAAAGGCAAGCATGGCAGAGGTACTCCAGGCAGGTGCTACAGGGACCAGCTAAAGCAACAGCTGGCACAGTTGACCACAAAGACTGGCAGACGCTCGCATCAGACAGGGCTGAGTGGAGGTCAACCACCTAACACGTAGCTCAGCAGTTCAGCACTCCAGAGTGAATACTGTTGAGGAGAAACACAAGTGTACAAAGAAGCCAGCCAATCAAGCAAAGTAAGACCTTCCCCTGCCCAGGGCATGCCACCACCCTAGCAAGGACTTTCTTCCCACTGACAGTTAAACTGACTGCACAAATTACAAAACCTATCTCAATTCTTTGAAATAGCTCAAATTTTCAAATTAGCTTAAATGACTCTACTGCACAGAATGCATAACTAGCTTAATTGGTTTGATTGGGAAATCTCCACAATATAGCTTAATTGATTCAAGAAGTTAAAATAGGGTGAGGAAGTTGAAATGGTCAAACTAAACTAATTGGTTGAACTAGTTAAGTGGTCAAACTAGCGAAAACAAAAAAACTGCACAATGTATCTTGGTTGAAGATGTTTAAATGGTTCAATAGCTTAAATGACATAATGCCTAACTTTCTAAAATGGTTCAACCAGCAAATATCTAGCTCAACAAGTTGATCTGCACAAACTGCACAAGCTAGCTTAAATGGTTTAACTGGTGGAAAAATCAAACCTAAGAAGACAAGTCAACTGCACAAATCGCACTATCCTATTGGTTGAAGAAGTTGACATGGTTAAACAAGCTTAAATGGTTCAACTAGATGAGATCCATAACTTGCCAAATTGCTTCAACTGCACAGACTGCACAATCTAGCCTAAGTTGTTTGACTGGCTAAATAGTTAAGCCAGCGAAAACGCACAAATTGCACAATCTATCTGAACAGGTTGATGTAGTTAAAATGGTCAAACTAGCTTAAATGGTTCAGCTGGACAATATGCACAGTTAGTGTAATAGGTTGAATCGCACAAACTGCACAATCTAGCTTTAATGGATTGACTGGTTAAATTATCAAAGAAGGAAAGATAGTTGAACGAAAAAAAGAGCACAATCTATCTTAATTGGTCGAAGTAGCTCAAATCGCCAAATCACCTGCAAAATTTAGTTAAATTGGTCCAAGAAGCGAAAATATATAAACGAGCTTACTTGGTCTAACTGGTCAAATAGTCAAACAGTTAAACTGTACAAATTGCCCAAGCTTTCTCTCAATAATTGCTCAATCTAGCTTTAATGGATCAACTGGTTTTAACCAAATAGTCATACTAGGGAAGACAGCTGAACGGTAAAAAGGCACAATCTATCTCAAATGGCCAAACTGGCTTCAATTGTTCAATTGCGCAATCTGCACATTCTAGTTGAACTGGCTCTTAGTCGAACTAACTGAATTAGCTCAACTGGTGAAATAGTCGAAGCAGTGAAAAAAATTTAACTGCACAAATTGCACAATCTATCTTAATTCGTTGAGGTTGCTTTAACGGCCGAACTAGTATAATAGTTTTAATCGCGAAAAATGCACAATCTATCCCTAATGATTCAACTGGTTAAATAATCAAACTAGCAAAGGCAGTTTACAACTTGCACAATCTATCTTAATTGCTTGAAGTAGTAAAACGAGTTTAAATGGTCAGAGTAGCTGAAACGGTACAACTCGACAAAATGCACACACTAGCTAGGTTGATTCAACTCCTCAAAATGTCCCAAATTAGCAGAAACGGTTGATCTGGACGAAATTCACAAGGTAGCTGAATTGATTTAACTCGTTGAAATGGTCAAATTAGCTGCAACAGTTGATCTGCAAGAAATGCACTAACTTGACTATTTTAGCTACTTTGTGAATTTTTTCCAGGAAGTGCTTTAGCTAGTTTAGCCGTTTTATCCAGTCAATCCAATTCAGCGAATTTATGCTTTACTCCAAAAACAAAGTAAACTAGCCGCAAAGTAGCTAGAAACATGTTGTTTGCAGGGAGATAAAGCAGAAAAACCTGTTTTTTTTTTTACTAGAAACAAGCAAAAACTATTTCGGTGTCATAATGCTGAAGCAAGCGTAGTTTAGTTCTAAAACAGAACAGCGTATTTTGGCCACAAAAAGCGTAAGGTCGTTATTTTGAGTGAAATGATCCAAAATCAGCCTGTTTACCTGCAAACAGGCAGAAATCGGTGTTTGGTGCGAAAACGTTACAAGTAGCCTAATTAAGTGGCTAACAAGCAAAAAAACGTTTCGTTTTTGTTGAGATAAGGCCAAAAGAGGCAGAATTTAACTGCATGGAAGCTTACAACTTAGCAAGTTAGAACTGAAAACAACGTAATTCAGGGAAAACTTTAAAATATCTCGCGATTGAAGCAGATTGCAAAGGTCCTTTCACTCTAGTGGTATACGGCGTCTCCATAGGAAACAAAGGATGCAGCCATTAATTAGCAAAAAGAACAAAAGATTCAAGATGGCGTCTAAGTCCCTTAAGGAGGATTCAAGATGGCAGCGGTGACGTCATCGAAGATGACATCATTCAAGATGGCGGCGTAATATACTCATAACATGAGGGTGTATGAGGGGTAAAAATTAGCTCACAGCCTCCCTTAGAGGAATGTAATGTGTAATCTTATGATTAGATATATATTTATGTCAAGACCTTACCTCCCATCTATGTGGGAGATGATACAGCACTTTACGCGTATGCAGCGTGAGATGTCTGCCAAACACTTTACGCATGCGCAGTGTAAGATGTCTGACAAAGATGGCAGTTCAAGGCTGCCTGAGGCTGCCCAAGGCTGCCCTAGCCTCTAGGGGGTTACATGAAGGCTGCCTGAGGCTGCCCAAGACTGCCCTAACCTCTATGGGATTACATGAAGGCTGTCCGAGGCTGCCTTAATCTCTAGAGAACTAAAAAAATTTTTACAGGTTGTAGCTGATGAGAAGATTTTGCTAAATCATGCAGGATCAAAGTTCTACAGTTTGTAACCAATGAGCAGGTAGAATTTAAAAACAAGAGATCTAAGATGTATAAAAGTGGAGCAGATTTTTAAGGGAACTCACTATTCTTTCTCGTAGAGTGGTGAGCAAGCAAGCAAGCAAGCAAGCAAGCAAGCAAGCAAGCAAGGAACAAGATGTCGTCAAATACCAAGAGGAATCATCCTTATGTCAAAAAAGAAAACGAGAAGAAAACAGAAGCCAAGAATAAGTTGAAGGGTACTATTGTCATGGATGCACTGCCTATGAATGATCCTGATTTCTGAGGTAAAGATAACGTTCCTGATACACCGACGCATGACAATTTTGGAGGAGAACCACCCAAGTTTGATGTGAATAAGCCACGAATGGCTGTGGATTATATGAGACCAGACCACCGTATCCCTCCTAAATCAAAGCCCGCCAAGTCACAGCCGCCATTGAAAGAGTTGAACAAACTGGTAGAAACTATCAAGACAAAAGCGACAACAGAGAAGACCGAGAGAGAAGTGCTAGAAGAAGGCGAGATTCCACAGGATTCTGGTACGGGTACGTATCAGTATTCCTCCTTGGATGAGTTACTAGATTGTGTGGAAGTCAGTTATCCATATCCGATCCACCAGACCATGATGGACGTATTGAAATCTAAAAAAGAAGATTGTGACCATGTATTCCTACGTTGCTCGTCCGCCCGTTGCCCAGTATTTTGTAATCTCAGTGATTACAACCGTTATTACTATGAATGTCAAAGACAGGGTCACCCCCGGTTCACCCTGGGCAGAATCGACAAGATGGTGTGCGAATGTGGAATGACTCCCACATTGTCTTTGACTCAATCAGAAAAAAATTATGGCAAAATGTATTTGCGATGCGGTCAACGCCATTGTAAGCTATTCCTTCGGTGGCGACAGACCATCTTGAAATCGCACGGTTGATGAATAGAAACACAAAGCTAAATACATTGTCTATGGACGATTATGTTGAAATCGCTTGGTTGATCGGTATGCCTAAGTTTAGAAAATTAGCATGACACTTAGGATTGTCGGATGAAGACTTAGAATGTATTGTTTGTGATGTACAGTTTTTAGAAGATGATATGGATAAATAAATAAAAGTTGTATCACCAAAAACACTGTCATTTTTCTGTGTCAATCATGAGGTGTGTAAGACGGTCAGTGATTGAAAGAAGAAAACGCAATCAATGTGGGGGTGCTTTTGTGAGTACGGTTAAGGAATTCTTCGTCGAGGCCCCTCTCTTACAGATAAATTAGCTTACGCAGCAAGGATGTTGTTATCGGGTCCTGCACCAGGTTTTGGAACACTTGGTAAACTTCTGGGAAAACAGGCTTTGAAAGGCATTATGGATAATGTCAAGCATTATAAAAAGGGTCGGTGATGAAAAGTGGTTCGTCATGCCTACCTCATGGAGTGAATGTCTATGCTACTTACATTATCGAGTGGTGTCGTGGCTTTGTGATCGCATCACACGTATAGTCTACGAAGAGGATGAGCCGCAAAAAATCCCTTACGAATGGGTTCCCGAAGACATGGAAGATGAGGTGTTTAAGTTTGTCGTGAAACCACACCTATATCCTCTACACGACCGTATCTTTCATTTGATGATGTTTATGAGATACTATGATGGGAAGTTTACATATAAGACGTGGAATCATTTGTATACGCAGTACCTTCATAGGTATTGGGTCACCTACCATTGTTTCAAACTTTGGTGTAATTTATCATGATTAAGAACATTAAAAAAGATATCAAGGATGAAGAAATGAAAACAAAAGAGAGAGGATCACACGACTTTTATGACGAACCCGGTGTCGTCGGTAGTTTGGGTGGTGTGGCACCGTATGCCAAAGCTCAAAAGATCTCTATTGCTCAAGGTAAAAAAGAATTAGAGAAAAAATTGGCGTACACGCTTCACAAACCCTGACGTCGACGAGGAGAATTTTTACCTGTGGTGGTGTTCGACATTGATCAACAATGGGTAGCAGATTTGATTGAAGTACAGACCCTATCCAAACAGAACAAGGGATACCGATACATATTGGTCGTGATTGATGCCTTTTCCAAGAACGCGTGGGCCCGGCCGATTAAAAAGAAAACAGGAAAAGATGTGACGGATGCGTTTGCAAGGAAGCCAAAGGAAGGAAACCTCGGACGTTACAGACAGATGCAGGCAAGGAATTGTACAATCAGACCTTTCAAACATTGATGAAAACACAGGAGATTCATCACTTTTCTGACCATGGAGATGCCAAAGCCAGTATCGTCGAACGATTTAACAGAACCCTTAAATCGAAATTGTATCGCTATTTCACGGCTTCCAATACACTCAAATATGTAGACATATTTCCCAAACTTGTCAATCAATACAATCGCACCTATCACAGGAGTATTAAAACCACACCGGCTTAAGTCACCACATCCAATGCCAAAGAAGTGTGGAACAATTTATATGGGAAATATCAGACTAAGAAGAAAAAGAAACCTGCATTTAAAGTAGGCGATAAAGTCCGATTAAATAAAAAATTTAGACTGTTTAAGAAAGGGTATCTACCAGGATGGACGGAAGAAGTGTTTCAAGTTCGTAAATTCGTACCCGAAATGGTAACGACCTATAAAGTGCAAGAATTGGATGACACGCCCTTACAAGGCACATGTTATGTGTGGGATTTATAAAAAGTACATGTAGATGAAGCGACTTCTTTTTGAGTGGAAAAAGTATTAAAGAGACAAAAGGATAAATTGTTTGTCAAGTGGAAAGGGTACCCTAGCAAATATAACAGTTGGATTAATAAAAAAGATTGAAAGTGAGCTGTGTGTTTGTGATGATCGCATCATGAGAGGAAGTTTGAGACAGTTTAAAGTGTATGTGCCAGATGAACAAGGAGTGGTGGTCTAATGCGCTGGCAGACTCCCTCACCTTATGCCCCACCGCCTTTTATTGGATCCTGGGGTGATCCTCAAATAGGTGCCGGAGTCAAAGACATGTCTAAAGATTTTGTGAAAGGTGTAGTAGGAGGCCTTAAAAGTAGTGTCAAAAAGGGTTCGTTATCAGAAGTGCCGTGTGGTATAAAGAGAGGAGCATCCCAAGCGCCTAAGAACGAATTAAAGAGAAAAGTTGTCAAGAGGTTGAACGATATTTTTTAGAGAATAAAACATGGTCCGCATCAGTACCGTACGTCAAAGTGATCCTATCATTGGTGTAGGCACAGCATCACCGACGGATCCTTTGTCTTCCACCTTAAAAAGGTATAAAGGGAGAAAAAGAAAACAACAACAACGAGGAGGATTTCTCCTAAGTTGTATAAAGAAAATAGGAATGCGACAACGTGTGCATAAACGCAGAAGACGTTGAAACAGACACATCACCATGTCTATCAAAGGGGCAGAGCAGAATTCAAGTCTAGATCTCTTTAGAATACCACCTACAGATCTTTTACGGTAAAATACCGATATGTCAAAATACCACCTCAGACTTCTAGTATTACTCCTATCCAAGTGTACGTGGAACGACAATCAGATCCCATTTATCTTTCGAGAAGTTTTGTCCAACTGGATTTGGGTTTCAAAACCACAGAAAATGCCAATCTCACAGCACGCGCATACAATGTGGGTATGATGACTTCACCTGCCAACAATATTGCACACACCCTCTTCAAGCAAATCAATTTCAGAGCCAATGGCACCCTACTCACCGAACAATGTGGACATGTACCATCTTAAAGCTTTCATACAGACGATCCTTAATTATGATAGGAATGATGGAGAGACGATACTCGAACCAGCTGAATGGCAGAACGAAATTGATTCTCCTGTAACCTACACCGCTGCAAATGTCAAGATGGACGATGCTGCATATAGAGCTCTTTCTAAAAATCATCAAGAAATCATCAAGAGACAGAGAGAAGATGCAACAGATTATTATGCAGGAGGAAAGAGGAGAATCTTGAGAATGAAACCGTTAATAGACGCGTTTCACCAAGAAAAATGGACTGTCCCCAAAACTCTTTTGGAATTGGAATTTTATCTGAATCCAGCAGCTTTGTTCATAAATGGAGAAGCCAATCCACCCAGTGAGGAAGTCCGAGTCAACCCAGAGGATATTAAACTTACCTTCTTTCTCTGTCTGGTGTCCCTAAACCCAGCCGTCTACATGAGCATGATGAGTATGATGACCAAAACCCCGACAAGTATCCCATGATCCGTACCGAGATGAGACAGTTTCCCCTGGACAATGGGGCCACTTCTAAAGAAATCAACAACCCATTCAATGGAAAGATGCCCCAAAGAGTCATCATTGGTATTCTGAAAACTATCGTATTCAATGGTCAATACAACGAAGACCCCTTGGCCTTTGGAAAATTTGGGGTGGAATACATCAAACAAATTGTGAATGGAGAAGAATACCCTTACGAGACTTTGGAACTCAACACGGCTAATGGTCAAAAAGACTTGGTGGGTTATAACCGATTTCTGGATGCTACTGGCTGTCTTTACAGAAATGCAGGAAACATGGTGCGATTCAAAGACTGGGGTCATGGAAAAAATTGCACGCTGTTTGCGTTTTCCAATATGGCCAATGGAAGACACGATGACCCGGTTCTTCTACCTAAAAATTAAGGCTTCACATTAAATGTGCAGGGCAAGCAAGTCAGAAAACGGTGATCGTGTATGCTGAATATGAAAGCATTATGGAAATTGACGGCATTAAAGGAGCTACCACCATGGAAGTGCATTAGTGATGGGGTTTGTGTGGCTTACTACGAATCAACTCAACGCTTTAGCGGATAGTGATCCAGAACTCCGCAAGTACTTTGTCAGTGCTTTAGCCTGTGACGAACTACCCGTGTCGCCTGAACGTGTGAAACCGAGAGCTTACTTTGTCAATACCCACCCTGCAGACAAACCTGGGGAAAGCTGGATAGGTGTGTGGACCGAACACGACAGCTGTGAAATTTTAGATAGTTATGGTTTAGATTTAACTACCTATGAATTTCTGACACCATTCATTGTAAGGTTAAACCGATGGCCTTACGTGCGTGAAAATACTCGAGCATTACAATCTGTAAAAACTGCAAGTTGTGGAAATTACGCCATCGTTTATTTAATGTGTAAAGTAAGACGCAAGAGTATGGATGAGTTTTTTTTCCATGTTTTCTAAAAAGGATTATGTAGGCAACGATGATAAAGTAGGCGACATGTTAGAAGACATCATTCAATCGTTAATAAAATGAAAGGAATGAAATAGAATCGTGTCATTTTAGTGTAACTCGCTTTTAGCAATCATGTACAAGTGTGCGGAACCAGGATTTTCTTTCAAATACCCTTCCAATATTTTGATTGTGGGCCCTACAAGTTGTGGAAAAAGACCTATTTGACGAAAGACCGCCCCGCCTGCATTGCTGTTATGGATCCTGGCAAAATAAGTTTGACGACATGCCACGCCATGGCATTAAATTTTTTAAAGGAGTGCCTACCTACGACGATTTAACAACATGGTTTGGAGATAAACGAGGGGGTATTCTTGTCTTGGATGATCTCATGTCGGAGGGAGGAGATGACAGAGAAATACTTAATCTTTTCACACCATATTCTCAGCACATGAATGTAACCGTGTGTTATCTCTGCCAAGACATGTTCCCTCAAGGAAAATATGCCAAGACCATCTCTAGGAATGCGCAATACATTACTGCCTTTAAAAATCCTAGAGATAAAGTGACGTTGCACACCTTACTGCTACAGATATACCCGACTAAGTGGCTACCTGTCATGGATATATATATAATGCATGTACAGACAGACCCCATGGTTATTTGTCTTTTGACGTACACCCTGCAAGTAGAGATTCTACGAGACTTTTAAGTCACTTGTTACGACACAAAAGGTGTGTACGCTGTTACAGAGAGAAATAAATAAGAAAGATGCTTGGTTATAAGCGCAGTATGCTTACAACCCGAAGAAGAAGAAGAGTGAAAAGAAGACTAACCAAAAATGGACAAAAAGGAGGTATCCTACCATTAGCGGCACTCATTCCAGCCCTCATTGCTGGAGGTAAAGCATTGGGTTTAAGTGCCCTTGGAGGAGCTGCATCGTTTGGGGCTAAAAAAGGCTTAGGCGCTCTTCTAAAGGAAAAGCGATGATTAATAGTTTCAAGAGAAATGTGGATTTTTTGACATCTATTTTACGAGAAAAATAGAAAGCGTCGTATGGAAAAATTACTTCACGCTAGTAAAGATCAAATCAATGCCGTCGGTGGATTCACGTTGAACATGTTGAAGAAAAATATACCTTTATCACCACCCACCGTTGCCAAACTCAAGAAATATAGAGTGATGTTGAGAGAGTTGGGTAAACGGAGGAACTCTTTAAAAAAGCGGCGTCAATTACTTAATCAAACAGGCGGTAGCTTTTGGAGTGGTATGAGGGACGCGTTCTGTCAGTGTTTCAAGAAATCATGACTGTCGCCGTGCAAGAGGGTATAAACGAAGTAGACACGGGTATAAAGTTTGATTTGCAATTCAACTACGACGACGATGACAGTGACTATAAGGATTCAACCAAGTGTAGACTCACAATAGCTCAACTCGGTGGTTACGTATACGTGTGGTGGAACCCTTATGGCGATTATGGAGACGTTCTTAATGGTGAAACCCGATGAGTTTCGAGCTTTGGTAGATTATTACAAGGGAAAAATTACCGAAAGTACTCTTCTGGACAAAGCCGCACGCGTGGCTGCTGAAGCAAAACTGTTTTTAGAATATACATGTACTCCTGCTGCTTTAAAAGAACCTGTGGTAAAAGAATTGTTAATGCAAGAACGCAAGCTTACTGACAAATTGAGACAGATTCCTATCGCCGGTGGTGTAGAACCTCCACCTTGAGACGATGAGGGTAATCTCATGGAGGGGTTGCGAGAGGGATTATTAAATGAACTCATTAAATCCATGAATACGAGGGGACAAGCCGCCGTACCTCACATGACACCCAAGAGGGAACCTGTCATACCTGCGAGGATCAAGAACGAACCCGTCACCCCTGCGAAACCGGGAACGTCCAAGATTCCTTTTCTCACAGCTCCATCCCAAAAGATACAAAAAACGAAACGAAAACTTTCTGTTCCCACACCGCAAAAACATTGCACGGAGTTGGAACGACCCAGAGAATTTGGTAACTAAGAACCTTGAGTAAAGAGAGGTTATGACCCGTATCAAGCGTTTGAAGATGACGAAACCCCAAAGTCGAGGAAAGGCAAAGGGAGGGGCAAGAACCGTCCAAGCTAAGCCTAAAAGGAAACGACAGAGTAAAGGAAAATTTGAGAATCAGAAATGGATTTCAAAGTTAGGTGTCGAGTTTCATTGGCCTGGATACCAGTATATGGGTCCAGGTACAAAATTAGCCAAGCGATTAAAACGTGGTGATCCAGGAATTAATCGTCTTGATAGATTAGCCAAACAGCACGATATTGATTACAGTAAAGCTAAATCACTCGCTGACAAACATATTACAGATCGTAAGATGGTAACTGGTATCGATAAGTTTCCAGGCAAGAAGAGTTTAACCGAGCAAATTGTTAAGCGAATCATGCAAGCTAAACTTAGAACAAAATTGTAACACCTCTACAATGATGAAATAAAACTTGTGAAAATGCAACAAAGTGTGTGTCTCCGGTTCATTTGTAGTTGTGTCGTTATCGAGAGCACATCATGTCAGGTAATACTTTTTACTTGATTGACGTTACCCAGTAACGACAGGAGTCTGAAATATTTTTCAGACAACAAAATCAATTCTTGGAAAAATCGATTAGACAAACGCATCGATTTAAAAGGAGAGTGGGAAGTGGGATTGAGTAGTATTTCGCTTCCACACGATTCTAAGATTTCCAGTTACCTCAAAGGATTAAAAGACGATGATGTCTTGCTAACCACAGGACGAATTAAAGTAGCCACTGGGGATATACAACATAAAGTGACTTACAATGTCACATATGAAGACATCAAACAACATCGTATCGAGACAGTTCACGATTTACTCAAATCCTTGTTTGATGAAGAACGTTTTAAATGTATTATGAATATGGGTTCGGCGTTTAGGAGTCATTTTTCTTCAGGACACAGCGCACAATTTGAAGTTATTGCGGACGAGGATAAAGAAACGATTACTGTGACAGCAGACAAGGTAAAATCGACTGATATAACTCATCAAGAAGTTCGTGACGGTCTCTATTTTGAGTTACCTCGAGACATGTCTGAGTTGTTTGGTTGGACGAAAAAAACAGCAGTGTGGTATCGTCGTATTGTTAGTGGTCCTATTGAAGAGAATTGTAATTAATTACGACCGGCACATAATCTCACAGTGACCAAACGTGGTACGGTGTGGAGTTATGATAGAAGGCTTACTACATCCAGTTTGGCGTATTACAGATATGAGATCCCATGGAAAGACCGATTTGCGGAGAAATATCATAGATTTCTTCTTGACGATCTGAACTGGACCTTTATCAATACTAAGAGAAGTACCTACTTAAACTTTCCTCACCCACGGACCTTCTATATGTATTCCTCGCTTTGTGCTCCAGTACGTATGGGAGATCAGACGACTGATCTTAGACGTCAAATACACTACCGACCAATCTTGGAAGGAAATTATTATTACGAACCCAAGCAGATTCATTGCATCAGGTTACGTAAGAATCACATCGATGTGGTGGAAACACAGATAAGTGAGTCGGAAAATAATAATTTGGTTCAGTTTACAGACGGCGCTTCTATCGTCACACTTCATTTTAGACGCGTACGTTAACGCATGGATGCCGCCGCCCAGGAAAAGGACAGAGGAGGAAAATGTCCATTCCATCCACTAACTTGCAAATTTCCTTCGCGTCACGAGTGGCAAGACAACATTGAAAAGGAACTACTACAAGATATGATTCGCAGGGTAGATCAAAGAACAGCCTTTCTTAGAAAATGGATAGATAATATCACAGAGGGTATGAAACGCTTGTAAGGATGACACAGGCACGTGATTTAAATTGTAACAATTTAATTTAATTTAATCTTCTTGGCAATTGCATCACACTTAAAATTTCTCGGGTTCACAATGTCAGTGTCTCTTCTTTCGTCTTACGGGTCTAAAATTTCATCCAAAATATTTTGCCTCGTGACCTGATAATTAAGCTGGTTGGCACCACGCACGTTTAGGGAAAAGCCACGAACTTTACACACGATTTCCCATGTTTCGTCGTATACCCATAGTTCTTGGCACCCCCTGACACAAATTCCACGATGTAATCCCCTTCATCCAATTCATTGGTCATATCGCCAAGGTAATCACCTAGGGGAATTTCTGTTTGACCTGGCTTCCACGTGTAAATGACCGAGTCTGTATCATAATACAAGACTCGATCGCCCAACACCTCCAAAGATTCATAGAGCTTAAGACGGGCCTGACAGGTGGTAAAGGCTGCTATGAATATTTTGGTTTTGGACCCCTTTACTGCATCCTCTTCTATCTTCTTATACGCCAATTCAATCACATCAGCACTCAAAATGCGTATGTCTGATATTTCAATCGTCGTGTCATTTAAATGATCTATCAGCTCGTGTGGTTCTGTGATTTGCTTCGTTTTCATCTTGTTCATTTGTTCGCCAAACTTGCCCCAAAAGGAGTTCAGCATCAGTTTTAGCACATCCAATATGTGTGGTTTTTTGCAGAGAACCTTTTGCTGTCCATGAGGCGCAAGCTATGGCCGCAGTAGCAAACCCAGAACCGGAACATCCATTTCGTCAAACAGATATGGAACTCCGCGAACAGCAAAGGCAACAAGCGATCCGCAATTAAGAAGCCATGTTACAACCAGGAGCTCTCGAAGAGAAGATGTAGAATGGAATATTATGTAATTCAAGTATCTTTTTGTAGGGAATTTCAAACGAGTTTTTCCAAGCCCATCATCAATCTCCTCACACTTTTTTTTTATCAATTTCTTTTTGATGTTGTCTTAGAAAACACGATCATTAGACATAGATTAGGAATACGCTTAGACCAAGTGTACTGTCATAGCAATTTATTCAAGCAAGTTGGTTTATTTTCTGTTTTATAGCTACCACCTTCGAACTTACTTTTTTGGCCAGTTTTTCACACTCATTAATATGGTGTTTCCTTTTCTTAAATTGAACCATTAAATTAAGTTTTATACAATTCATTTTTAGACTGAATTTCCATTGGAAGACATTGTGGATTTTTTTGAAACATTAAACTCATTATTATGGTGGCATGATGTCCAAGATGAAATTTGTGTCCTTTTTAATCAGTTTAGGTTTTTTATGATTGTCACCCATATTTATAATATTATACCCTTAATAAGTTTTGGTTTCGTAGAGTATGATGAAGAAGATGTAGCGCCACCTATATTAGAGGATTATATATGGTTAACCACCAATTACCACAGAGATACTCATAATGTCATACATTTTTTCTTGATTGTATTCCTCAATCATCCTTTTTGTAACGCTAGATTTTTTTCAACTTTTTCAGAATGAGTATCTCTTTATGGATTACTACAACTTTTTATTTACGCTATGGACCTATTTAGATAATCAAGATCCCTAGGATGAAATTTTGGTCCTCCTAAACCAATTTTATTTTTTTATGAATGTTAATTACGTTTATAATGTTACTGTTTCAATTTTGTCCCCTTTCAAGAAGTACCACCACATCTAGAGAATTGTATATGGTTAGCTACCATTCCCAACAGAAACAGTCATAACATTTTTCATTTTTCTTGTACTCCATTTGTATAACAATAAACTTTACATTGGATTTTACATGTGGGTTTTCTTATCTAACTCGTGAAATACAGAAAAAAAGCCGTCTGCTATTTCTTTATCCCACTTAGTATAGTAAATACATCGTTCGTTTCCACAGGGGTGGTAAATGTATCGCAAGCATCGTGGAATATAATGTCATGATGTCTCTCCCGTATTTCAACTCCTGAATTTCTTTCTGATACCTTTCCACATCTTGTGCATGTATCGATGCTTGCTGACGAATCTTGCGCTTAAGGCGACACACTTTTAACACACGGAACAGGTTTCTTACGCGACGGCGTCGTCTTTTCTTGCCCCTTTTAGACATGTGCATCTAACGCAGTCTCCATGGTTATGGAGACTAGCTGAATCTCAAAGAATACCTCGGTTTTTATGGTATAAGCGATACCATTTTAAAGAGTGTTTAAATTCTGTCATAGCCTCGATGTCAGTAACCAACCGAATAATACATTGGATGTAAGATGATCCACCCTCGTGAAACGCGTTGTAAGCAGTCAAAGTCGTGACCATGATGACGAAGGTTGTTCCCCAATTTCACAAAATCAAACCAATGGGTAAACATTCACATTTGCTTGTGTGCTCCTTCAGGACTCGCATAATGTGTTACTTTTTCCAAAATGCGATTGTGAATACCTTCTTGGCAATACCATAAGTAATCTTGGGTAGTTTTCATAGCCGTTTAGTGATCTAGTTTCTCCATGACAAGACGTAATACGTTTAAAAACATCCACACATCGTCATAGTCTTTCACCTGCGATATGACTCAGTATCTCCCTTCTTCTGTCGATGTTTGTTCATACCCCAAAATGTGGTGAAGTAACACACTCGCGCGACCCGTCTTTTTTTCGTCATTCACATAAAATGTATACACAGTATGTGGACAAATAGGACTCATATACTCTAACACGCGCTCTAAATCCTAGCGGAAAGCCCTCGTCACTAAGAAATGAGACAACACTTTATTACAATCTGATTGGTTTAATGATCTTGACAATCTGGACAATCGCAAGGTTCGTGATTCATTTCTCTTTCTTTCATAAGCTTGATGAAATCCATCAATGCATCCATGACACGATTTCTCTTTTCCACATACTGGGAATCGTCTTCGTCACGAGGTAGTGTGTAATCTTCTTTTAACATACGTCTCAGATCGTCGTCGTCTGCTTCATTCGCTATGGTGTCTAAAATGTCATCGATATACCAAACAAGACCCCGGGTTGGAACGTATTGACACATCTTGTGAATTGTCGGACAGCCTTCATGTAATCCCCTCGAGGTTAGGGCAGCCTTGGGCAGCCTCAGGCAGCCTTGAACAGCCATCTTTGTCAGACATCTTACACTGCGCATGCGTAAAGTGTTTTTTACATTACGTGAACATATAGGTACATGTTACATTCCTCTAAGGGAAGCCGTGAGCTAATTTTTACACCTCATACACCCTCATGTTATGAATATATTAAGCCGCCATCTTGAATGAGGCATCTTCGATGACGTCACCGCCGCCATCTTGAATCCTCCCTAAGGGACTTAGACGCCATCTTGAATCCTCCCTTAGGGATTTAGACGCCATCTTGAGTTTTTTGTTCTTTATGCTAATTGATGGCGGCATCGCTTTGTTTCCTATGGAGACGCCGTATACTACTTACTTTGGACAAAGCCTAACAACTCAACTAAAATAGATTTGGTTTTCTCATAAGGCGAGTTTTGAATTAAATCCTGTTTTAAGGTATGAAGTAAACTTTATTTGAACTTCGAGATCTTTTTTGGAAGGTGCGAATCTGAATTTGCCTCTTTAAATTCCTTCCTTAATACTTTCGGTTATTTTTACTCAGGAAAAATTTGCATTTTGTAAGAGGAATCTTTTCCAACTTGTTTGGCTACATATTATCATGTTTTAATGCACTTATTTTTAAAATGTAATTCGTAGCCAATACTCAACTTTCGTAGCGAATACTCATTTTGGTTATAGCTCAAGAAACATCGTAATTTTACTGACTCTATAGTTGTTTCTAAAACACAGCTTGATTAGTTTTTTTTCAGGTCTTATTCCAACTACTAGTTCAGTAGTGTTCATAGCTGCGAGGATCGCTTATATTCGTTTCTTCACCGCAGTGCACATAAATGATTTTTATATATTTTCAGTCACTATTCATCAGTTGGAAGGTTTATTTGGATCCAACGTAATGACTAGCTCCCACTTGGCTCGTTAGGTCAGTTAGTAGAGCGCTTAGGGTAACGCAGAGGTCAAGGGTTCAAATCCCGTACGGGCCAAGATAATTTTTTTCAATTACCAGTTCAGTAGTGTTCATAGTTGCGAGGATCGCTTATATTCTCAGCTTGATGGTATTATTTTGGTAATCTTTTGATTTTGTTTTTTGTAGTCTTAATTTACTTAGTTACATAATTCTTAACTTTTATCCATCGACATTGTACATAGTTTTTATATTTCTCTGATTGTTCATCTGTTATGGTTATTTTATCTTCAATGGCTAATTTTTTAGTTGCCCAGGGCATCTATTTATAACAGCTTCAGCTGACGGGTTTACCCTGGTTAAATGTGTTATTCTTATTCTTATTACTTTTAAACCATTACACTAAAAAGATTATATTGCATCACCGAACATTTAGTGTATTTCTTTAAAAAAGTGTACTTTTCCCTTTCAGTTGCACTGATGCAGTGCAATACTAAAGCGATTTCAATTGAGGATACATACATATCATCGCCAGAAATCAAGGACATTTCGAGCCCGCTAACAATTATCAGCGCTATATCGTATAACACTCCTGAACAATAGAATTTTTAAGAGAATTCAATGTGGCGGCGATCACGGCTCGATCTGCAAAGAAGCGTGTTTCGTACCATGACTTACACAATTTGAGCACCGCAGATCTTCTATTTGACGAAAAGAAAAAGAAAAGAAGACCTGCAAGCAAATCTTTGGGATTTTTCGAGGCAAAGCGATGACATGATGTCAGAATTTTGATTTGCTTTTATTAAATTTTCGCACCAAGACTACTGAATTTGCATTTAACGCCTGGCATATTTTTATTCCGAAAAGGACCTGAGAATTTATTTCCCAGCAAGAACATCAACAAATATGGCCGATGATTCGAAGATCAGCGTTGCTCGTGTTTAACCATTTCAGTAATAGTTTTCAACATGGCGTCTCGTCACTTACTCAACATGGAAAATAAGGGATATTCTGGCGCGTCGGGAAGTTTTTTGATGGGAGGAAATGACAATTTTACAGGATATTTGACGCTTCGAACTCAGTAGCAGTCAATTCGATCGAGAGCAGTTGACTTCATTGATGCACTTTCCTGTAATAGGCGAGTGTTTGGGATGGAGAACGACGGATTTTGAAGAACTATATGGCGACTTAGGTCAATAAACAATGACAAAAGAACTGGCTCGGGAAGTGAGTGGTTTTTATTTATCAAGACACTGTGAGGGTTTATGGATAGCAGAATCAGTACTGAATATGTCTCGATCGAGAGCAGACGAGACCATGAGCTCCTGATTGTTACATTTTAGAAATTTTACAAATTTCCATATAGTTTCTTATATTATTTGGACGCCATTATGGACGAAATGCGCAGGCGCGGCCGCCATCTTGCCCAATATTTCTGCCAATGATATCATTCTAAAATATGCAACGAAAGCAGTGAAAAAACACCCATTGTAAGCATCTAACTGACACATCGGGTATATAATCGAGACTTTATTTCAAATTCCAGAATTGGAAAGGTATTTTTCTTAGTTCCATTTTTTGTCCAAAATGTTGACAACGCCTGACAGTAACTTAAATCAATGTAAAAACCTGTCAAATCAGGAAAAAGAGAGGAACAA